CTTTTAAAGCCAGGAATTTGAAAACATGATTAGGTTTTGACCTAAATTGACTTAATCCTTGGTTTGACGTGATGGGTCACATTTATTCATTTGAAGTGACGTGGAACAGCTTTTCTAACCTTTGTAATAATTCGACGTTTGGATCACAGTCAAGCAGCCAGCTTATAGAGAGGTACATGCATAAAGAAACACTGGTGAGTAAAGGAAACTAAACTGAATTTAAATACATTTATAYTGGATGTATTTACCTTGTTGAATTTTGATCAAAAACTATTTTCTCTTCAGAGCTAAAATCAGATCATTTTTGATTAAAACAAAAGTCAATTCTTTTTTTTAGTTGTTTGAAAAAAGCAATAGAATTAAAGTGATACTTAATACATGCACAGCAGGAAGTGTTTCCCTTTAGAATTTCTTAAACATTTTCTTTTGTTCTTTTACTCGTGAGCCAGTTTACAAGTTTTTCAGTGCCTTTTGAAAAGTTTTTTTTCCTCTTGCTCTTTGTCAGTCAGGCTCCATCAGAGGCCCGGCCTCATGTTCACACCTCCCCTCAGCTGTTTACCAAACAAACCCTCAGAGTGACCCACATACAGCTGACTGCTCTGCTGGAGCTGCTCGTTACACAGGAATGTGTCGCTGCTGGCCTCACAGCTTCACATGACTTCACTCTGTCAAGTGTGCACAGCAGCTCTGGAAGAGGTGTCTGTTAGCAAAACATCACGTGAACCACTTTTAACGAAACTMAAAGGCTGTGTCTCAATTCATGGGCTGACCCAGCCTAGCTGGGCCATGTAGGCCACATCCTTGCTGGGCTGGGTAGGMTGCTCAAAACTGCTGYGAAATGAGACGGTCYAGCCTTCGCCTGRCGTCGGCTTCACGTGGGTTTGCGTGACCACGTGCTCCCCCGTTACCATARTGATCAGTTTCATGTCGGACTTAAAATGCTTCGGGACGTGTTTACACGTCTTTTTACTGGAAGAATAAATTCACAGTTGAAAAGGTAAACGTAAATAAAGAAAACAATAATTTGGGTTTAGCTCCAGTATCTACAACGGAGATAACACATATTTTTTTATTATTATTATGAAAATAAAGTCATAATATGCAAATAAAGTTGTAATATTATGAGAATAAAGTCATAATATGTGAATAAAGTTGTAATATTATGAGAATAAAGTCATAATATGTGAATAAAGTTG